ATCTATAAATTTAATAAAATTAAAAAAAAAATAAATTTCGATTAATATTGATTTATAAATTTAATAAAAATTTTTTAAAATTTTATTAAATTTATAAATTGAATAAAATTAAAAAAAAAAATAAATTTCAATTAATATTGATCTATAAATTTAATAAAATTTTTAAAAATTTTTAAATTTATTTAATAAATTAAAATAAATATTTTTATTAAATTTTATTGAATTTATTATTACTGATAAATTTTATTTAAATGTTAATTAATTTTTATAAAATATTTTTAAAATTTTATTATTTAAATAAAAATACAGTAGGGTTTTGCTATTCCGGACACTCGATAATCCGGACACCGCGCTAATCCGGACATGCGTGGGGTCTCCATTGAGAACTCTGTAATCCGGACATGACGCCAATACTTAGTACTCGATAATTCGGACGCTTTATATTTTATTTCGTTTTTGTGTCTGGAATGATATCCATTCGAAGTTCTTTACTCACAACGGGAATTGGCGTTATTTTTTAAAATTACCTAAGTATGCATTGAATTCACGGACCGCCTGACCATGCTATGTCTCTGCGTAGCTCAGTTATCGTCTTGACGTTGATTTGTTTACCTCGTGCGGCAAGAGCCTACTGAAGAACGGGAATTGTTATTTTAGGCTAATTTAAAGTCGTGTGTGAAGTTAATTTACAGTCGTTTAGTCCTTGAGGACAGTGCCTAGTGAAGATGCCACCAATTGCTACAAAAAAACGTACCTTTTTAACAATCGACCAAAAATCAGAGGTGTTAAAAAAAATTTAAGCAAGGAAAGTCGGTTAGAAAGCTGGCTTTGGAGTATGATGTAGGTAAATCTACAATTTCGGATATAAAATTAAAAGAATCACAGATAGAAAGGTAAGAAAATAAAATTTAGTAAGAAGATTATTCTTCTTTTTTAAATTGAGAAACTAATAACAATGCCAATCATGCATTTAGGTACATTTCTAAAAGTGAAAATGGTCTTGGCCAAAGGAAAACGATGAGATGTGCGGAAAGCAGATGATGGAGGAACGCCTATATAATTGGTTTATAAAAAAACGACAGCTGAATGTACCTGTATCCTCTGAAATTCTTCGAGAAAAAGCAAAAGTTTTCTGTTCTGAAATTTATGGTTCAAATGTGGAATTTTTCGCAAGCAAGGGCTGGTTTAATAACTTTCGATCAAGATATGGAATTAAATTTCTAAAAATTTCTGGTGAAAAATTAACTAATGACTCTACGGCTGTGCAGCCATTTATTGAACAACTTCAGACAAAAATTCGTGAAAAGGGGTTAACAAATTCACAAAGCAGATGAAACTGCACTATTCTGGAAAAAGTTACCAGATAAAACACTTGCGCTGCGCACCGAAAAAACAGCACCTGGGCGTAAAATTGGTAAGGAGCGAATCACGTTATTGGTTTGTTGCAATGCATCCGGAGAACATAAGCTAAAATTGTTAATGATCGGGAAAGCGAAAAATCCTAGGGTGTTCAAACAGGTGAAGCTGCCATTGGAGTATGCTAACAGCAAGAATGCGTGGATGACAGAGATGATTTTTAGAAACTGGTTTAAGAATTCATTTGTTGTACAAGTGCGGAAACATTTAAAAGAGAAAAATTTGCCAGTAAAAGCACTTTTATTGTTGGATAATACCACCTGTCATCCATTGTCATTAGCTAGCTCCGAAGAAGATATATGCGTAATGTTTTTACCCCCCAATTGCACAGCATTAGTCCAACCCATGGATCAAAATGCTATTCGAATTCTGAAAGTGAACTATCGTAAAAGTTTCTTATCATTCATGTTATCAAATTTAACCGATAATTTGACGGATGTTATTAAAAAGTTTTCTTTAAAAGACGTTGCATTTTTGGTGACGAATGCTTGGAACGCAGTAGGCACTAATATACTTCAAAAATGTTTCAACAGAATCTTGAAACACGAAGAATGGGATTCGGGTGACGACTTGCCCCTTGCGCAATTACGCTCTAATCACTTAAGTGAAGTAATCGACCTGCTGGTTGAAATAAGTCCGGATGTGTATCAGAATAATGAAATTACTGAATGGATAAATGACGAAGATATAGATCAAGGAGAGCAAAGTGAGGAGGACGAAGAAATTGAGGACGATATTTTAGAAGGAAATGATAATCCAATCCCAAAAATATCCCATTCAGATGCTATTGCCGCATTAAACACTTGCATACAATATGCTGAAGAGCAGGATTTAAGGTCCGAAGATATTTTGAAACTTATTGGCCTAAGAGAGATAGCTTATACAAATCGCAATGAAACCAAACTTCGTCAGACCAAAATCACGAATTTTCTTCAACAATAGCATACAACTTAATACAACATTATTTTCATGAATTAAAGTTTTGTGTTATTTTACATTTGTATGTAATAAATCTTGATGTGAAATCATAAAATGAAATAAAAATGAACTAAGCTGTTGAGAATATGTAAAATTTTTATATTTTTTTAGGACTTCGATAATCCGGACATTTCGATAATACGGACACTGCTCGGTTTTTAATTGTCCGGATTATCGAAACCCTACTGTATTATAATTATAGTTTATTATTAATTATTTATTAATTAATATAGATAAAATAAAAAAAATTTTATTAAAAAAGATAATTTTTATTTTACTTTTATAAATATAAATAAATATGATAGGGGGTCTGTTTATTTGTAGGGAGGAAATACTAATTGATTTTATTTAA